CTCGCAATCATATACTTAGGTACCTTTTGACCCCATGGAAAAAAATATCTAACGTTCAGAACTACCAATAACAGGAAGAAGAGGAAAAAAAAATTTTTTTTTGAGAATGAAATGTTTCCCATCATAGTGAATTCTTAAGCACGTTCTCCACATATGCGGCGTGCTAGTTGGATGTCTTTTGGCATAATTGTTACACGTTTGGCTTGGATAGCACACAGGTTGGTGTCTTCAAAAAGGCCAACCAGATAGACCTCACTTGCCTCCTGCAAAGCACCAATAGCTGCGCTCTGGAAGCGCAGATCTGTTTTGAAGTCCTGAGCAATTTCTCACACCAGACGCTGGAAGGGGAGTTTGCGAATCAGAAGTTCAGTGGACTTCTGATAACGTCTAATTTCACGGAGTGCCACAGTACCAGACCTGTAACGATGAGGTTTCTTCACCCCTCCAGTACAGGGCGCACTCTTACGAGCGGCTTTTGTAGCCAGTTGTTTCCTGGGTGCTTTACCACCGGTTGATTTGCGGGCAGTCTAGCTTTGTACGAGCCATGGTAGAAAGACCTCCTTACTTACCCCCCTTCTCCTTCGGCTGGAGCTCGGTGAGCTAGAGGCAGCCCTGGCATTAGAGAGCGGCGGCTGCGAACACCTGGAAATAAGGTCTTTGCAGATGTAGTTCACTGAAATCAGAGTGAATTAGGATGGGCCCTAATTCACATGACTGGAGTTCTTACAGGGCCAGGTAAAGACAGAGGTATACAAAGGGAAGAGAGCAGGTGAAGACCGAGGCAGAAACTGGAGTAAAATAGCTAGGCCAAGGACGGCCAAGGACTGTTTTGAGCCAGCAGTGCCAAGGAAGAAGCAGGGAAGGATCCTTCCTAGGTTTAGAGGGAACATAAGTCCCATTCAATTTTTTTATTTTAGGGTAGGGGTACAGGGGATTGAACTCAGGGGCACCTGGTCGCTGAGCCACATCCCCAGTCCTATTTTTGTATTTTATCTAGAGACAGGGCCTTACTCGTTGCTTGGCACCTTGCTTTGGCTGAGGCTGGGTTTGAGCTCACAATCCTTCTGTCTCAGCTTCCTGAGCCACTAGGATTACAGGCATGTGCCACCATGCCCAGTCCCATTCAATTTTGACACCTGATTTTGGATTTCTAGATTTCAGATATGACAGAATTATTTCTATTGTGTTGGAGCCATGCAGCTTGTGGTAGGTACTTTACTAAGAAAGTCCTTGAAAACTAACATGAAGTTTTTTTATAGGGGTGATCAAAATGTTCTACGGTTGATGGCTGTGTAACTGTGGATATTCTAAAAATCACTAACTTGTATACTTTAAGTAGGTGAATTTTATGGTATGTGAACTATAGCTCAATAAAGCTGTTATTAAGAAATATTTAAAATTATTAAGAATGCCAACCTTGAGTGACTCCAACATAGAGAGCTGTTATTTTCAGTCCAATGTTATTAAAGGTGAGAAGAAGCTGAGAGCTAAGATGTTAGTCCAACAGGATTGGTTGCTAGGTCTGTTGCTGATTTACTATAGGGACTTGTGGCCTTTTAGACAGAACTCTTAGCTGTCAGAAAACCAATGCCAAGAGGCTTAATCAAAACAATAGGAATACAGGGGCTGGGGATGTGGCTCAACTGGTAGCGTGCTCGCCTGGAGTGCGTGTGGCCCGGATTCGATCCTCAGCACCACATACCAACAAAGATGTTGTGTCTGCTGAGAACTAAAAAATAAATATTAAAAATTAAAAAAAACAAAACAATAGGAATCTGTGCCACTAACTGAGGTCCAGAGTGGCTGCTAGCTTCAGGCATCCAAATCATGTCCCTAGAGCTTGGTCCTCCTGGCTGCTTTCCTCCTCCCCTGGCTGTCTCTACTTGGTAGGAAAAGTCGGCCACCACAGTTCCAAGACTAGGTAGCCCTCACACCTCTGACCAAAAGAGAATCTTTCTTGACAGTGCTGAAAACAGGGCCGTCGAGAGCAGGCCCACATTCCTGAGCCCCGGAGTCCAGTTAGCCTCAACCAAGCCTGACTGCTGAGGCCTGAGAAAAGGATGGCTCCCCAGAGGTAGAGAGGCTGGGGATACGAAATTCATGTTCTCTAAGCCTGATGAGCTGTAAGGCTTCAGATAGCACACATCATTTCAGTCCAATAAATACTTGCTGAATCAGTGTAGAAACACATAAAACTGAGCTGCTGGAGAGTGATTTTATAGCGTCATGTTCCAAACTCTAATTTTGAATTGTAGAGAAGCAATAAAATACAATGGAACTCAGATGCCCAGGTCATCAGTGAGATGCCATTTTAGCAAAGAGCTTCTTCAGCTCTCAGTCAAGTATAGACTGCTATGTTCTGGATTCCATCTACATTATACAAAATGAGGTTCAGTCCTCTGGGAGGAGGTTTTTTTTTTTTTTTTTTTTTTTTTTTTTTTTTTTTT